AGACCCTCACCCACGCAGTTGACCCCYGTGTAGTCCAGGTTGTATCCGAAGGGGCACTCGCAGCGGAAGGAGCCGTCGGTGTTGATGCAGGCCCCGTTGATGCAGACCCCCAGGTTCTCCGAGCACTCATTGACATCTGCCAGGGAAACCACGGGGGTGAAACCTCCCACAGCCACAAACAGCCCCCTCAGGACTGACACGAGACACCCAAGTGATCCCTGGAGCTTCAGATTCTCCCTCTCCAGAGCCGGGGGCCGAACCTTTGGTGAGCAGCTGAGCTTGGGAGAGCCCCCAGTCCCACTCCTTCCACCCCTTCCCTGCCTCTGGGATCCAACCCAGCTCTCCAGGAGCCCAAGTCTGGTTGTTTTTAGGCAGCAACACCCCCCCCCAACCCCAAATTTCTTGTCATCCCTAGAGCCAAGCTCACCTTCTCGGGTGTCACCGGGGCCTGGGATGGCTCCGTGGCCGTACGGACACAGCTCCTGGAAGGCAACTGGGAGGAAGCAGGAAAGTGAGATCTGCTCACAAGGGATTCCACTCTTGTTTGTAGAGCACGATGGGAGCTTGAGAACCCCCAAAACCCTGTCTGGCTGGAAAAAAACCTGTGCCTGCCTTGGGTGTGGAACCATGAAAACACGGAATTGTGAAGGTTGGAAAGCCCTCTAATATCATGAAGTCCAGCCATTAACCCAACACCACCCTGTCCACCACTAAACCACATCTCCAGGGGCCACATCCACACGTTCTTTGAACACTCCCAAGGATGGGGACTCCAGCACTGCCCTGGGCAGCCTCTCTCAGTGCTTGACCACCCTTTCAGTGAAGAAACTTTTCCTAATATTCAACCTAAACCTCCCCTGGCACAACTTGAGGCTGTTTCTTCTTGTCCTGTTGCTTGTTACCCGGGAGAAGAGCCTGACCCCTACGTGGCTACAACCTCCTTTCAGGCAGCTGTAGAGAGCTTCAGGCAGTGGTGGAGAGAGTTGTGGAGGCCCTGAGGTAACACCAAGGTTGTGGGTTTGACCCTTGGGTGGGCCATTCACTGAAGAGTTGGAATTTGATGATCTTTGTGGGTCCCTTCCAACTCAGAGCATTCTGTGAGATCTCTGAGATGCTCTTGCCTTATCTAAAGCCCTGGAGAGCACCAAGAGCAGATCCAAAGCAGAAATAACCTGCCTGGTTGCTGCAGCCCCAGGGAATTCTGCAGCCCCAGGGAATTCTGCAGCCCCAGGACGGGCTCCCAGTTCTCCAGGCATGGACAAACCCCCTTTGCTGGACGCCTTGCCTTCCTGGCTGCCTTCCCTGCCTTTCCCCACACACAGAGCCAGGTCCCAGCCTTCCTACCATTCCCCTCCTGAGGGCACAGCTCGCAGGGATCTCCCCAGCCCTCCCCTGGCATCTTGCTGCAGCAGCACCGAGCCTTGGTGGTGTTGAAGGCCTTGGGGACGGAGCACTTCCCGTTGTCGAAGCGGGTGAAGCAGAAGCTCTGGCGAGTGTCTGCGGGAGGATGGGAGAGTTCCAAGGTCACACAGAGGTCCAGGAGGTTCTGCTCCCTCCCCACCACGAGCAGCTGCACTCACCAAAGCAGCGCCGGCCGTTGTCAGACAGCACGAAGCCCGGGGGACAGACGCACTGGAAGCTGCCAGGGGTATTGGTGCACGTCCCAAAAAGGCAGATGTTGGGCTCCTCTTCGCACTCGTTGATATCTGGGAGGAGCAGGGACACACAGAGCAGCCAAAGGTCACTCCTTTCCTCAGAAAAACAAGGTGAAGGTGATGTCTGGGAGCTCTGATGCCTCATTGCCACGTCCCCAACCTCTAACCCTCCCTCAGAGAAAAAGGGGCAGTGAAAATGGGCACAGCAAAACCCTTGAGCCTCCTCTTCTTCTTCTTCTTCTCCCACCTCCATCTGTGAAGGAGATGTCTGGGAGCTCTGATACCTGCAGGATATCACCCTGTCCCCAACCTCTAACCCTCCCTCAGAGAAAATGAGGCAATGACACACAGAGCAACCAAAGGTCACTCCTTTCCTCATGAAGGTGATGTCTGGGAGCTCTGATACCTGCAGGACATCAACCTTACCCCCAACCCTCAGAGAAAATAAGGCAATGAAAATGCCTTGAGCAAAACCCTTGAGCCTCCTCTTCTTCCTCTTCTCCCACCTCCATCTGTGAAGGAGATGTCTGGGAGCTCTGACACACCTGCAGGACATCACCATGTCCCCAACCCCAGAAAATGATTCAATGACACACAGAGAAGCCAAAGGTCACCTCTTTCCTCATGAAAACAAGGTGAAGGTGATGTCTGGGAGCTCTGATACCTGCAGGACATCACCATGTCCCCAACCTTGAACCCTCCCTCAGAGAAAAAGAGGCAGTGAAAATGGGCACAGAGAACCCCCTGAGCCTTCTCTGCCATGGGAGCAGGTCTTGCCTGGCAAGAAGGTGTTTGGGGGTGGTGATGCACCATCCTGATGATGCCCCAGAGATGCCCCAACCCACCCAGGAAGAACAGGGCTGTTGTGGGGATGGTTCAAGAGGGGGCAGAGGGCCCACATTACCGATGCAGTTGTCGTTCTGCACCTCGTAGCCCGGGGGGCAGATGCAGCGGAAGGAGCCCTCCAGGTTCTGGCAGGTGCCCGGGGAGCAGGTGCCAGGCAGGCTCACACACTCGTTGATGTCTGAGGAGGAAGAGAAACACCCCGTGATGGGGTCTGTGCCCACCTCAGAGGACCCTCCTGCACCCAAGGCCCCGCCGTGCCCAGAAGGTCTGAGGGAAGCAGGTTAAGACATTTCCCAGGATGGTTCCCAGGGCATCCCTGGTACAGCTCTGCAGGTTTTAGGGGCATGGACAGAGCATTTCTCCTCACTGCACATGGAAAGGTGCAAGTTTGACTGTTCCCTGCCTTGCTGGAAGGGAGATGAAGGCAGAGAGGGACTCAGTCCAGCTCTCCAGGGGCACTCAGACGAACCAGGCTTTGGTTCCAGAGGACTTGGGACTTGTGGCAGAGGTTCTGTGAGTGGTTCTGGAGAATCCACTACTCAGCTGGCTGGGATGGGCCCAGCCTGGGCACCACATCACCCAGCACCAGCTCCCCCCACTGCTGCCCAGCCACTCACCCACACAGTTCTTCCCGTCAGGGGTCCGGTCGTACCCCTCCTGGCACAGGCACTGGAAGGAGCCGACGCTGTTGATGCACTGGCCGTTCCGACACACCTGCCCCACCAGGGATGAACACTCATCAATGTCTGTGGGAGGGAGAGGACAAGCAAAACAGGAAGAGATGCAGAGCATGAGAGTGTCACCCCCACCAGCCCCGCACCTCCGGCCGCCGCTGACCCCCCCC